TTATTGCAAAAAGCCATAAAAGATAAACTTTACATTCAAAATAGTATTAGAAAAGAACAACTTTCAGAATAAACTATTCCTATTCTGTAGAGAAATTTTAGAGGCAGATAAATAGAGCAGTATTAATAATTAAAAAATAATTAAAATTTTCAGTACTGATTATTATTTCATGCATTTGAGTGTTCACAACAAATGTCTAGTGTTTATTGCTGTAAATAGCAAGTCTCCTCAAATTTCCAGTTCTTCCCTCAGTATCTTCATAGGCCCTAGTACCATGTCAATTTATTATTATAACTATTAATACTATTAGTAGTAGTAGTATTAGTAGTTATTTGTGAAAAAATTCACAGCCATATTTGAATATCTGAATTTTTCAAACTAAACATTTTTATATTTAACATATAATTTTAAAAATTCTGTAGTTATGATACTATGATATTTGCTCACTTCATGTGGATATCAAGCATGCCTTGGGTTATTATAACAATAGATTATCTCCTTATTACTCACACAAGTAATGAGACCAGGTTGCAAATAATTACCTAATACCTAATGAATATTTTTATAGAAAGAGAAACAGAGAAACTTAGACATTATTATATATGATGATTAATATTTGTGAAAACTTCTGCAGAAATATACATTGTGATCATCAACATTACTTGTTAAGATTAAAGTAAATAAAGAAATTTTCAAGAAATTCAGCATCTATATGGGTTAAACAGTAGGAGATAGAAGGAAATAAATTTGCAATTGTCTAATTTTATTGAATGCCAAAAGAAGTAAAAGTTAATACATAAAGCATATACAATCCTCAATCAACATTTGAGCTTTAAGATGTTCCCAGAAAGAAAAGAACAGCAATAATATGTAAAAATCAAAGTTAATAAACACTGATTATACTCTTAATAAAAATTATTAAAAGTAACAGATGTATATCTGGATAAATTATCATAATATATTCAAGGAGGACATTGAGTGAATCCCAATTGGGAATATATCCTCTGTAATTGAAAACATTTTATGTAATACCATCCTTAATTTTAAAAAAAAAAAAAAAATCTAAGTTTGGGTTCATAAAATTTCTTTTCCAAATAAATTAGTAACTTTCTTATAAATTATTCAACAAAAATTACTATATAGCATTGTTGATAAAAATGTTAAAAGATTCTCTTTCAGTTAAATTACCATAGTTTAGATGTTTATAAATATTTTACTGCAACCCAGTATTTGTACTCGTATTTCTACACAAGTTTAGTATATTGAAAAAGGCAATCACTTTGCATTATGTTTGGTAACTCAAATGTCAATTAGTCACAAACTGATGGCAATTGAATATCATTGTTTGATTAATTCATTTTTATAGCTTGTCAACCTTTTACAGGTTATTTAAATAAAAAAAAAATTAAAAATTTGAAAATATTTTAGATTGCAAGAATATTTTTGAGATAATGATTTTTACCAATACAAATAATACTAATTAACCAATAGCTGGGAGAGAAAAGGTGGATTCATACCTTTCCAAAGGGTATTTGTACACAAGTGATTCTAACGAACTTGACTGGAATTTGAACTTGGCTCTCCGATTTTCAATTCTGAACTATTATGCATTACATTACTTGGACATCCAAGCTTGCAACAAGTATTTTCAAATGGTCACCTATCTAGGTACTGACAAGGCTTGGCATTGCTTAACTTTGGTGATCATACGAGAACCAATATTTCAACATGATATGGCCCTAAGTAGGCGGTGAATATCAGAGTTTAAATTAAAAAAAAAAAATAAATAAAAAATGAGTTTCTAATCTGCTTGAAGAAACATTATACTATAATTTTTCTTAAATCTAAGAATATGTCCAGAGATAGATGTCCATATTGATGACCAAGCTAATTAAAAATCTAAACATCATCTTGGAATTTGAACCCAGTTTTCCTAACATTCACATGTGGCAATCTAGATTAGAAAAGTGATTATGATTATACTTAGCCTTCAACATTTATCCAGGACAACATCAATCAAAAAGAAGCTTTAAATTTTCAGCCTGAGATTATAGATATTTGAAAACTGGCATAACATATCAAAATACAAACCTAACATACAAAACTAAAAATAAAAATGTTTCATTCAAGACATAATTAGGAACACTTTCTAGAAAACTAAATTAAGACAATAAAAAAAAACTCTACTATTAGATGTTTTCTATTTAGAATAAAAGCAACAAGTCTAGCACTTTACAATTTTGGAACATGCAATATTTTGAGCAAGAGAAAAATCTACCAAAGAATATACCAAATATGGAATGTTGTAAAATTACAAACTCCTCTTTTTATTTATTTGCTAGCTTGTATTTTGAAGTCCTTCTGCAAGCATGATAATGATCTCTTGATATTTGTAGGTCTCTTAACATTGTGCCAGCTCCTAATGAATATTCATAAGGCTAGCTGTTTTTGTCATGAAGAAACCATTCTCTGGTGATGAGCTGGAAAGATAAATTCCACTTGTACAGAAAGTCTGCCTAAACTGTCAGTTACCTTTAATTACAATGCATACACAAGTCATCTGACTTGGCTCTATCATCTGATCATAAGAAAAGTAGCCTAACAAATTATAAGATTAATGTAGACATATAAAAGTCAGAGAGATCCTGTACACAGCTTGGAAAGAGATACTAGTGAAGAAAACCTTGCTCTTGAAATACATAATTATTATTTATACTTAGTAAAACAAGTAAATTTACAGATTTCTTTTTACAGGAAATGCTATATAATTTCAAAATTTTCAATAATGCAAACCACTGCTGAACATATCCTTAATGCTTTAAAAGAACTGCTTCAATGGTAGAAACTTCTTGCTGGAAATTACTGTCACAAAGCCATCATACAGTATTTTTAATACTATACATTTGTTTAGCAACAACAAGCACAATTCAATGTTATTTTTTTTGATAATGCAGCAAATAAAAAAAGGTATTCTTAGAATTAAGATTATACATATAAAAGAAATCAATTAGTTATATTTTTTCTTATAAACTTTTTGAGAAGTCCCAGAGGTGTTAAGTCATATACAAACTTTCATCTCTTTGTATCCATAGCTAGAAACTAAAATTCATCTTGAAATCTAGTCATTTATTTTATATTTCTCTGCCACCCCATGGAAATAGATCTGCTGACTCATTAGGCATGAAATCTATATAAATGTACAAAAATTCATTAGCATTCATAGATGTTTTAGAAGAATAAAACTTGTTTCACTTTATGAGAATTACTAAAACCAAAATTTGGGGAACGTTAGTATTTTATTTGTTTCATGTAATTTTTTTTGTAGAAATATTTCAAATCATTTACACCAAATCAAAATTTGTAACAATTATTTCCTAATCAGGCATATGTGGGGCTGAGGATAAACAAAACAAAACAAAAATCACTACATTCCTTATGTAATATATCTTGGAGAGTAATTATACAATGTAGATATTATTGAAGTGAATTTCTTGCATCTTGACATCTGATTGAAACATTAAAAAAGGTGCACACTTTTTCATATTCCCCATCCCAAAAAAAAGTTAAAAGGAAAGAAACTCAAAAGGACTCAAGCAATGAGTAGTAAAAAATATCTCCCCAAAGCAAATTTATGCACGTCTACATATAGTAAATAAAGACAGAAATGTACACAGATATCTTAGTATGTAAAGTCATTAAAATTAGATGTAAACCTACATTGTATATAGCTAACAGTTAACAGGTTAGTCTTAAAAGCCACTAAAATAAGTTGATTCCTTAAATGCTGTTCCAGAAGTGTCTCTTTATCAATTAGGTTTTGTTTAATAAACATCATAAAAAGTAATGTTTCTCCTCTGTTTTTGCTTAAAACAAACAGAAAAAAAAGATATCCAGGAAATTTTGGAGTAAAATAAAATCTTAAGGCTTAATTTATGAGGTCATTTTATTTCCAGAGTTAATTCAGAAAACACCATATTCTGTCTTTTCTAAATAGTGAAAAAAAACAAAAACATTTTTTCCAGATGAGATTTTCAAACCAATATTCTTAATTGCAATTTTTACCAATGCCAAATTACAATAGTAGGAAATACCTGAACCAACACGAGTGCAAAGAGGTGACTAGTCAAATTTACAAATAACAGATTTACTTCATTATTAATCAGCAAATACTATAAACTTTAAAGTAGATTACTTATTAACATTCTCTAAAGTTTTTCTCTTTCTAAATAGACCTATGTATTCTTTTTTATTGTCCAAGATATAATAGATATCTTGATATCCCATATTAAACAGCTCTATTTCATTAGTAATTGATTTATAGATAAGCGAACATTAAAAATTAATTAATATCTGCAAACAAAAGTACCAACTTTTTTTTTTTTTTATAGATTTGTGATTGGTGCTTTAAAGCAAATCATGGTTCATAACCAAGCCTGAAATATTGAAGTCAAACTTGAATATTTTAGAGGCCAACAAAATGAGTAGTTTTATTAGGTTTGGAAGAAAGCTAAAAACCTTATGCTTTAAAAACACCAGCACAATGAACATGGAAAAGAAAGCTGCAAACATGTTATATACATATCATAGAACCAATGCAATAATGGGGTTTAAGATAAGCATTTCACCAATATGAACAAACTCTATAAGCATAATACAATGTAAAATAATACAAGCACTTAGCTTCTTAAGCATGAATCAAGTGAATAGGAAAAGACAATTGATCATATTTTTTCAATAAAAATAGAGCAGGTATATTAACAGATAAATTATAAAGATTTACATCACTTTATCTAAGTACAGCTAGTGCTATTACAATGAAAAGTAGTCAACTGGACTAAAGATTAGAATGATAACCACTTCTACCTCTCAGTAGAAGACAAAAAAGTTACTAATACTAGAGAATCTCTAAAAAGAAAATCTTTGATGGTTGTTCAAATGTCTTTTTTGATATTCCTTGCAGATTTTTTCTTTATAATTCTCCATGTGCCAGTTTTACTTACTTGTTGATATTGCTTCCTTCTTTCAAGCGTTCACCGACAGCACCAGTCTTCTGAGCTCGTTCACTGCCAGCCAAATCCACCAAACTTAGCTTGCTGACTTTCTCACCACTCACCTGTCAAATGGAAATAATACATGAGTATTCATGCTACTTATCTATGGATATTAAACAGTCTGAAAAAAATGGTAAATGTAAAATTTTTTTGCTAGATAAAGTTCAGTTCAGGATTCTTTCTGTAAGTAAATCAATTTATTCATTTGTTCACAATCTCACATTTTCAAACTGCATATTTTTGTGAAAAAGACATTGGTTTTGTATATAGTTATATAGTAACTAAACAGACATGAATTTTATAAACACTGACACCAAAATCAGTCATTGCATCTCAGAAAAGTTAGTTTCCAAAGCCTATCTTCTTCTATTCAGGTCAAATTCTAGGACTCCAATATAGTCATAAATCATCTTATAATCGTCATATTTCTTTATGATAGGTAACCAACAGATTTTTTTTTTTTTTTTTGCATTTTCTTAAAGACGTTTTCAACTAAAGAGAGGAACATCTACTTTTTCACAAATATCTTTTAAATGCCTTTTTGCTTACAGCCACAAGAGGCTGTTTATTTTTTACATGTTCAGTATCCAGGGATATAAATTTGCCATTTGTTTATCTAAAAACTTTAAGAAATCAGTTTTATAAATTTTTCAAATATTTTCTGAGTGTTTGCTGATAATCACTGAAAATTTAATTTATTGACACCAAATAAAGCCTCTTTTCTTACTTTGTCACAATAAATGGACATTCCGAGAGAGAGCAGAAAGAACTAACAATGTTAAGTTAAATATTCAAATATTATATTTTTTTTTACAGATAATTATTCTTGTCTTATTTTGAAAGTTTTGCAATATTTTCTTTATTACGAATGATATATAATTTACTAGTAAATATTACTAATAAAAGAAATATTTTTTCAAGTAAAAGGAACTAGTAAAATCTGAGTACAGAAGTAAGGTGAATCCAAACTAATCTAGAAAGAATATGCTAAAATTATTCCAAGCATTTCCTATTGTTTTTCAGCAAATAATTATTTCATTTTCAGTCTCAATCTGATATGAGTTTAATGAAATCAACTTTAGGAATGTTCACTCTTACTAACTACAATATAGTCATAAAATTGATAATAATTATTCATTTATTTACAACAAAACCGATTCCATAAGAGTTGAACCTAATATTCAGGAAAAATAAATTCTGGCCATTTCATCTCATAAGGCATAACAAATATTTCAATTTTAGTGAAGGTAAGCAAAATACTTTTTCTGAATTTGTGAACAATTAAGATCTGTTGGTGCCACAAGATAGACATAACTCAAGTGTATCTAAAATAGAACACTTCATTGAAGTTAATAAAATTCTTTTGGATCTTTTATCAAGCCTCTGAGAAGTAAATAACGTATAAGTTTCGTTTTTGGTTTATATTTTCAAACAGCACAAAGAGAAATAAGCAAAAGACTGGATATATCTTTGCATTAACATTTCATATGAAAGATGCACAACACAAGTTACTTACAAATGTCTTTTATATATCACACCAGTAAAAGAATTGATAAAATATATGCTGGTCAAAGTAAGATGTTCAAGCTATGCCATTTTTTTAAAGATATTTATGATTATAGGTAACAAAGATAAACCTAAAAAGTCTTATTTATATGTTTGATAAATTATTTAATGTATTTTTAAAACTAATGACATTATTTTGTTTTTAACAACCCCATGACCAATATATTCTACAAATTATGTTAGGTATATATAGTAGCTGAAACTTTATATTTTTGATTTTCTTTCTCTCGATTTCCTCAGCTGCATAATAGTCCAACAGAAATACAAAACACTATTAATGTCTATGGTTAGTTATGGTTAGGAAAAGCTGGATGCATTAGTTGGCGGATTTTATGACACATTAACACTTATTGGGTTATTTAATGCTGAAATTGATAATTTTTAAAACTTGAGACTACAGGTACACACTGGTCAGCCTCTTTGCTCAAGCACACAGGTCCATACCTATTATTTTTATACTTGAGTCTATAGGCAAGTATTGGCCATCTGTAGGTAAGTTCATAATCATTCAATCAACATATGGTCACTTTGAAAATGAGCTTAACAAATCAATGAACTTTGTGAATATAAAAAGAAAAGAAAGAAAATATAATTTAAAAAAATAAAAAATGTTGACGTGACTTTATTTTATACATGTCCAATCTACAAGATGCAGGGTACGATGGATAAATTGTCATGTGAATTACATAAAAATGAAAATGACACTGACATCTCATTTTAACAGATATATTTACCAAAATTACACAAATATATCTTGAAATACTAAAGCGTAACTCAAGTGTTTATTCAATAAAATCACAATTGGTTTCAACCGTGGCCTCCAAACAACTTTGAAAACTCCTGTATCTCTTTTGGATGGTCCCCTTGTTCAATTTGGTGAATGATGCCGTAATCCTTGCCTTCAGTTCATCTTTGGTGTCACAAGGAGTTTTGTTGGTCTCTCACTCAACTGCACCCTACACATAGTAATCAAGGGGGTTCCAGTCTGGGGTGTTAAGTGGTCATATGTAAGAGGTGGCATAGTCACAGAAATTGTCTGACTAACTATGTTCTCCTACTTGTGTGGTATGGTGCAGACTTCTGTTGCTAGATATAGAGTCTTCCAGCAGCCAGCCTCTTGACTCAGGGGAGCACTACATCCTCAAGGCACTTGATATAGGCCTCTGTGTTGAGTCTGAGACCCTGGGAAAGATGAATGGAGGTACAACGTCACCATCACTAGTAATCACTCCAAACATCTTTGTAATTACCATTAGACATCTAACTCTTTCCAAATCCTCTGCACTGCCCTCAGATTGACACCCAAACACTCTGAAATGTTTGTATTGGAGCTTCCAGCACAAATGTCAAGCAGTACAGTATGCTGTTTCCAAATTGCATCATGATGCTCTTTTTCTCACAGATAGTGCCCAACTGACCCTGCTATACAGTGCAGTCAACAAAATCAAAACCAAATAATATGCATGTGCAAAATTAAAAGTATATAATGGAGAAAATTTACCCATCTCATCCTGTAGTGATAAAATAGATATATTTTTAGGTTCCTTTGCAGTTAGGACATTCTAGTACCTACCAACATGACAAAGAAAGTTTGCAATCTGCCCTCTTATTGAACCCTGTTGTAAGGAGATGTAATAAATTAATCAAGCTAAAAATTCTAGGTTCCATAACTAATAATTTACTAATGGTTTTGTATTAATCATGAGCATGGAGAGAGAGAGAGGGTTAACTGTTAAAATTAGTTTTGAAGATATATTACTATTATTTACATATGTTGTTGTTATAACGTTTTGGCCTTTGTGTCCTTTTTCTTTCATCAGGTGACTGTCTATTTGGGTAATATTCAGGGAATTTCAAATTGAACACTGTATTTAATCTATGTATGTATATTGTTCTCATTCTGTTGTACCTGTTCAATAATATCTAATCTATTTCTTATTTAGTACTGCCTGGTTATTGTTTGCCTCATTTCCACTGAATAGTACTAAATAATAACTAGACAAGATATCCCTACACCTGAACATGAACACATGTAAATAACATGAACATGTCCACATGTAAATAATAACTCTTCATTTCAGAAATTCAGACAGAAAGTTATTACCATGTGGTTACCATGTGGTGGTAAAATATGTATTTGCTTGCTGATGTATTGGTTTTTGACAAATTCATTAGCATTTCTTACAACAGTGGTCAACAAGAGCAATTTTAGTCTTTCCTCTTCTCATATACAAATTCTAAACCTCAATACTCAATCTTATGGTTCTGTTGGATTTGAAATGGATTAAGAAAAAGTACTAAGTGAAAACTGGCTGTAACTTGAAGACTAAAGAATATGTTGGATGAAATGTTAGGTTACTAAAAGAAAGAAATGATAAAAACCTCAAAATATATGGAATAATGAAAATACTTCATTACAGAACCTCTAAGAACAATCAGAAAGAACATTTTTAAAATGTTCAAAACACTCACTCCAATGAAAATATATTTTTGATGAGCCACAGAGCATCATTTTAGATCAGAAAAAAAATAATAAAATTTTAAAACCACAAAATGGCCAAAGGCTCAAGATCACTGGAAAAATCAAGAAAAAAGAGACAATTATATGATTATTTAAAAAAATAACTTGAAAAACAGTCAAAAAGCTTCTTTAAAAAAGGGTTAAGTTTCAAGACTATTACAGAAAGAGTTTTTTTAAAGTTTCAATGACTATCTACATATAACATGAAAAAGATTTTACCTTTCATAAAAGCACAATAGGAAATAATTTTTCTTTTTTTCATTCTTGTTCTGGTATATCAATAGAAAATCTTTTAGGCTCTTATTTTCTGATACTCTGATTAATAAACATCTTTTCAAACAATTTCCACTAGAAATATACTTGACGTTCATATCTATAACTAGTTCTTACTATGAAAATTTATTTTGTAAATAGCTTTAAAAGATAACCTCTAAAGATGAAAATATTTCCTATTTCTTTTCTTAATTTTCATCAATACACTCAAATACAAATTTATTTTTTTATCAGTCATTTGCAATGTCATACACATAATCAATTTATAACTAGCCTGTTACAACATTCAACTGCTATCACAAGTCACATATACAAACACAGACAAATGTGCATGTGTGCATATGCATGCACATGGAATTATGAATGTCTTAGGAAAGCAAGAAAGAAAAAGTTTGGCCTATGCATTTCTTTAGAAGTGAAGTCTTTAACAGATCAATAATGTGTTATGTGGAATAGAAGCAACAAGAGTTGAACAAGATTTGATATTCAATTCAAAATCAAATTTGTTTTTTCAATTAAATTATTAATGCAGCATATGAAGAAAAAAGTATCTGATATTTGGCAAGAGAAACTGGAGAATGCAAAACCAATGAGTTACTAATGAGAAGAAACAGTCAAAATATTTTTATTGAACATTTCCTTTATTTTCCTGCTTTTAATTAATAAGTTAAACTTTCTCTTATTTCTGAGTATAAAAAAGGA